TCTTTTTTTTTTTTTTTTTTAATGTAATACGATAAATCGATATATATATATAATACTACGAGATGGAACTCAAGTTTGATGGAATTCGCTGTTGGTGTTGGAATTCCAAGAGTATGGATTGAACGTTACAGATTCAATTATAGTTACGAACACAAATTTCCACGGGATCAGACCGGTTTACCTACCGAGTTTGTTCCATTTTCCGGATAAGGGATTACCGGGAGAAATGTGGTTGGATTATTTTAAGACGTGCAACGTTAACTCACAAGAAGTTTCCTGGCCGACTTCAAACACATTTTGGAGACTTAACAGGGCTTAAATCGTTCCAATGCCTGGGGAATAATTTACTTTGGGCCGGTATAGGAGGTGAGTGTCTAACGAATTAGCCATTCAAGGGAATAATAATTTAATAACAATTTTCCTTTGTAAACAATTTTTTATTTGTGATTATAAGATAATTAAATGTTTTTTAATCTGTTTAAAGATTATTCTCTCTCTTTCTCTCTCTCTTTTTCGGTTCCTTCTCTACCTTCCTTTCTTCCGAACGAGAAGTGTCGCGTGATTTTCAAGAGGATCAAGGGAGAAGATTCCCCTGTTGTCAGCGGAAAGTTTCCGCGTCTCGCATAAATTCTGCGGGAACTATGAAGAAAAAGAAAATGGAGGGAAAGTTAGTGAGAATTTCGCATCCGTTACCTTGGCATTATTGGACGAATCTGAACGTCCAGGAAAAAATCCACCTGTATTTTCCACCGTAACGTGGTGAAATACGTTTCAATTACTGTCACTATGAAATTTCTTGAAAATATCCCTTCTTCCTCTATCTCGTTCTAAATTATTTTTTCCCCGAAATGATTTTCGACCCCTTTTTTCGCGCGCTTCGCTCCCTCTGATCCCTACTTATCTATAAGTTTGAGAGGTTTAAATTGAAAAGTTTACAAATTAAAAATCAGGAAATCCGTCTAGAAGTTTGATAAAACCGAGAATTTCAAAGTAAAATCTCTAATTAACGATCGAAGAGAAGGAAGAAAGGAGCAAAAGCTTTCAAACGAAACTCGACATCGAGTAGAGAGAGACAGTCTCGCCATTCTCGCCATTCTCGTGTCCTCCACTTTCTACGACCATTTCATTCGACGACTTTTCGTTCGCGAAAACAAAACGCGCTGGACCGTCAATCGTCGCGATTCATCGTTATTTTTTTTCATACAGACGAACCTCTCGACCCTCGTCGAGGAAACAACGGTTGAAAAAACTTTGCTAGAAGAATCGACACCCCCTTCTCACGATTCTTGCCTCCCCTTTGAGACCCTTCTTCATCTTGCATTCAATTTTTCCTCGACAATTTTCCTTCTCCTCTTTCTCATTTTTTCGCAATTTCCTCTTTGTTCTCACGGACTGGAATGTCGATTTATTCGCGTATTTTTAAATAGTTAAACATAGCAGGTTGATCGAGCTCTTTTTAATTAACTTTGACCGATGAAATAAAGGAGGTCCGCGTTCGTTTTTATTTATATTTCCTTACAACAGGATACAACAGGGGAATTTTTCCAGAATATTAAAAACTCTTCATCATTGTCCAGATGCTTATTTTTTCCCTCTTTGATATATTCAAGAAATTCGAACATTTCTCTCTCTTTCTCTCTCGTACAACTTTAGAAATTTTTGTTTCAAAAACAATTCTTTAAAAGAAATTGCTTCCATCCTCTCGAGATGTTTCTTTCTTCGCATAAAATAGGGAACAAAGGGAAGATCGCAAAGATATAAAGGTATATTTGACCATTATAGAAGAATGATTTTTAATTTCTCTCGAGGGAAAAAAACGAATTCTGATCATTCGATTCTTAACCTTTTTTCTTTT